TGGTTCAACACTGTGGAGTCAAACACAGGTATTGACCAACCAAGTACACACAACAGACATGACAGTGTAAACGGTTCACATAAATCGGGGCCTCTCATTTTCACTGTGGGTGGATCGGTGGAGAAGTGGTTAGAGCTCCAGGCTAAGAACTCTGTGACCTGAGTTCAATTACCAGTCGTGGCTAACGTCAGTGGCAAATGGTATCAGAGCTGGTATTGAGCCTTGTGCTCTTCACCAACCCTCACTGGCTGCCAACTGAGAAGTACTGTGTGGTCAAAAAATCCCCTACAACTGGCATGGGGTAGGGTGATCTCAATCCAGCAGTGGGTTGACACTGGGCTGTAAACTATGAGTGGGGCATTTACTTCTATGTGCCAAACACAACACTGGATGACATATACATGTCTGTTTTAGGGTAATCACACGCGTCCTTAACACGTGTCATTACCCTGTAAAGGACACATTGCAAATAAATAAATAACTGGTTTAACTGATGAATGATCAGTGGTGTTGTGGCCCAAATCCTGATTAAGAAAATCACCTAAAGAACACTAGTAGAATAGAGTACATTTTATTGGGAAAAAGCCCATTTTTGACACAATGTGTTTTGCAAATGATATCTGCAATAAAGTAAATCACAGATACAGAAGACATGTGCGAATATTCAGCACGTGTAAGATTTTGTATATAGATATAGATTTTTGCATTCATATACGGTAGTGATGGACGCATTGGTTGACGAATTGAGCTGTGAACCCGAAAATCTGCATTCAATTCTCAGCCACAGGAGAAATCGGTGTTGAGTCATCAAGTGCCAGTCATTGAGCGCCCCCTGCACCAACCCGCACTGACCAGTGTGGTATTCACGCATGGTCCAACCGTCGCTCAATGGGAGGTCCCGCATTTCCCTATGCTGCCCCTACTGTCTGGAACTCCCGCAACCATCCGTGCTGTCGACTCCCCCTGCCTCTATGGAAGTCCAAGTCCCAATACCTTCCTGTTATCGCCCATGAATGTCCGCCTCTCTCTCTCTGCTGATAAATACAAACTAAATAACACGTCCACTGTTTCTGCAACAGCATCACATTTGGATTCTGTATAATTGTGATTTGTATTTGTAATTGCAGTACGTGGACAGAAGTGGGTCCTCAAGGGCTGAGGTTTGGGAAATCGTAAATATTTGATTTCTCGCTAGCCGAGGAGGTGCATAGACTCAAGAGATGTGTATGATCGGCTAAGCTCGAAGGCAATGATCCTTATTAAGGATTAATTATTATTCAATATCCGGTCATGGAGAACTGTTCATCTGTCAACTTCAATAATTGTAAGGCAACGTAGTGTCTGTTAGTTCATCTGTCGATCTCTCTCTGTCTTTAGGAATGTCCTAAAAATATATCAATATGTTATCATGGCCAAAGCCATTGATGCCACCAAATCTCTCCAATGCTTTCTACTTTCTGCCAGATCCCACAGCTGCTGCATAGTTGACACGTAACCTCAAGCTTTGCCATAACAGTATCCTAAGCCGCCGAATTCTTGGAGACCATTCCAATGTGTCTGGGTAACCAGCCCTATCCTATCCTTCACACATGCCCCAACAAGTGCAATTGTTTTTGTCTCCTCATACCTACCATGTTCTCTTACGACTTCTGCATTCCAAGGATACATCTTTCCATTGGAATGAGCTGCGGTTTAGTGCTTAAACATTATTCTTATCATTATGCTTGTTTCCACTGGAATGGATTAATCACTGAGTCTCACGACTCTTTTACAGGGAGGGTCTTTTCAAATTCTTGTTCACATAATCCCAATTGGGTGTGTTTTAAAATGTGTCGAATGTGGACCATGGCGCTGGCACACAATGGCCTACTCTTGTGAATTACATCACGGGATCTTTACACCGTGAAGCAGACGTACGTTTCTGGTTGCTGCTTTTTATGTAAAGTTTCTTGTCCCCCCCCCGCACAACACCTCCGATTAGCACGGTTGGCTACGTACTGTGCGAAAGAAGTTCAACACCCAGACATGTTCTTGGGTCTTTCGGTAAAATCACGTAGATAGGTTCAAAGAAAATAACAAAAAATAACAAAAAACTACGACGTTTCGATCGCAACACAAGCGTTCGTCATCAGGAAGAAAAAGGAGGGGGACAGCTGCTGAGGCAGACTGTTTTAAAGGTTTAAAATTGGTGTAGCCCAAGGGGTCATAATCGAAGTGGGCGGGGCTAGTTATGTTAATGTGATAAATTAGCATGTTAATGTAAAATCGAAGAGCGGCCTCCACGACAGGGGCGTGGAGGTGGCTATGTTAATGTGAGAGATGAGCATGTTAAAGGGAGATCGCAGAGCAGCAATGTCGAGCTCGGCGAGCAAGGTGGCTGTGTTAGCGTGGTAAACGTAACCTGTTAATGTTAAATCAGAGATTCGAAAATAACAACTAACATCGGAAGGTGGTAGGATGGGGACATCACAGCCAGTTATGACTTAAACTGGTTGATAACGTCCTTCCAATGATTGCTCAGTTTAAGCCCATCTTATCGATTGAAGTTGTGTCTGTGTCTGTATACGTGGATGGCTGCATGAACTAATCTTTGTTGATAGCCAGTGGGTTTGCAAAGTACCTTCGTCTGAGATAAATCAATTTCGTGTGAGCTCACCGCATTAAAACAATGATCAGCTAATTTCTCACATTAACATCACTAGCCCTGCCCACTTCGTGTATGACCCTTGGGCGACACACATTTTAAACCTTTAAAACAGTCTTGCGTCAGCAGCTGTCCCCCTGTTTTTTTCTTCCTGATGACGAACGCTTGTGCTGCGATCGAAACGTCGTAGTTTTTTGTTATTTTTAGTTATTTTCTTTGAACCTATCTACGTGACTTTACCGAAAGACCCAAGAATGTGAATTCTTGCGGTCACGAAAGCTTTAAGACACAGGCGTGGTTAATACACCTGGATCCAGACCCGTGAATATCCGCAACAAGTGACCAACGTGCTCCCTCCAGGCCATGTCGCCATCCGTTAAAACGATGGCTTTTGAATTCTGAATGAACCAATTCGGTTACAGTTTGTCTTCCGATTGCCTTTGTGGACATCAGTCACCATTCGAGGCACCCACCGGGTATCATCGATTATGTTTATGGACTGTTGGCTTCCCATTACCCACAGGGGAATGGCCAGTACTATGTCTTCTCTTTAATAATAATAGTAATGGCCATTTCCCAAAACATTATCCTGATGCATTCGTCTGTTTTAAGGCAGTGGTTGATGCTGAATGGGGGACAACTTTTTGCTGTAATGTGTCGTTTTTGTCGAAATGAGATTCGCCGACCACCTGCCGCCACCTCGTGGCCGAGACAAACTCAGCACGAGGCATGGGTGCGCGTGACTGCGGTGTAACACGATGGCAAATCACGTGTTCAGTGACGTGGGCTCTCGGCTCGTACACGCACGACACTGACATTTCATTGTGCGCTGCGTTTCTCAAACGTTTTTTATCATTTATACCAAGATAATTGTACTAGATCGCGTATTTAAATTCGTCGTGTTTGTGTTAACTGTGATATGTTTATTTTTGGCATCGAGAGATTCAACAATCTTAACACGGAGAGATAGTTACAAAATATATATGTTAAAGGTTTGTTTGAATAGTTGAACAGAGTTCTCCAGTTACTATCAACAGGCTGTTTCAATAAAGGGCAGCCAATTGAAATAACTGAGTTTATTCTGCGCCCGTGTTGCAGCAATGAAGCTGGGTTTGACCGCACGTTGAACTTCTTTCTCACCGTACGTAGCCAACCGTGCCAATCGGAGGTGCGGGGAATTATTGACAGAATAATTCCACAGTAGGGAGGTCGTGGTCTGAACTTGGTAAAATAATGCAAACCTACGTTTGGTTTGGCGTTGTCATTCGATGTACATGGTAGTCCAGATGTCTTGTGACCCCCGTTATATGTTTCTTCAACTTTATTTTTTTTTAAGTAAGGTTTATTTAAAACAGAAATGAATGTGCAAAGTGGGAAAAAAAATTAGGGGTCAATTAATTTGGGGTCACAAGACATCTGGACAACCCTGCACTGTATTCCAAGTAAAAGTTAAAGGTGCAGCCCTACAATTGCTCGTTCACACCACTGCTGACGGTGGGGCCTCCACTACAGGAAGCTGTAGAGAGCCCAGTTATACTGCTGGCTAGACAGAGGTGGGGGGAAGAGAATTGAAGCAGCAACAACCTTTGGATTGAATGTACGTTGTGTATCCAAAGTCTAAAGTTAATACCGTACTCATTTTGAGAGGGCTAACCAAGGAGGTAATCTCGTGTTAATGTATGCGAGGCCAACTAGAAACACAATTGGGAGTAAATAAATCCCTAGATTTATGCAAAGGGATGCAGCGTTCTTCAAAAAACACATGCGCAAAACGAATTTTCGTAAATCGGAACGGCTTTTGTCCCATTAATTTAAGACTAAAAATTATAGATGTGTTTCGGACAGTCATAACAAATAAACTCCTCACCTAAAAATCGACTTTTCACAATACACAAATAACAAGGACATGTGAAAACGATTGAGAAATAATGCATTTGTTTTTAAATCACCTTTTCAGGGAACGCACCCAAAGATTGACGCGTCCGAATCACTGGAAAGGTGTCGTGGGAGGCCGCCACTGCTACCACTGCAGGGGACGCCGCGGCGCTGTCGCGAACGGAGGACGACGCAGCCTCCCCGGGTGGCTTCTTGTTTGGTGGCCTCCTGGCGCGTGGCCGTCGTGAAGTTTCGTTCACGTGGAAATTGCGTTAATGCGACATTTCACAAACCGAAAATTCGCAAGTCGAGGGATATCTGCCCTCGAGTTATTTAGCATTTCTCCTGGGGTCATTCCCCATTGTGACACGAGGCTCTGTTTGTTGGGACTCGTCTTGAACATGTTTTGGGCCAGGACGACTCTGATATAATGGCGATAATATATACACACACACACATGAAAAAGCAAAGTAAAAAAATGTTTGGCAAGAGTATATTTATTGAAAATTAAACAAAAATACAAGAATACACGGCGCAGCAGAAACATAGCAAGTTATACACCGACCTTACTAAAAAAGAATATCACGTAGCATGCTTTGGTATAGAGTTCAAAGTTAGAACTGCAATACTTTTTGAAAGCACCTATCAGCTTCAACACGTTTAACGTTCATATGTGTGGGTGAATTAAGGCACGCCACCTTTAACCTCGGCTTCACAGGTTCTTAAATGCTTTCGCTGTGCACATTTCAGTAAACAGTCCAGCTAAAGTGAGTAAGTGCTCTGTTATTTACCATGATGAACAATTCTCGAGAGACAGCCTAACATTTCAAAACACACCACACACTATGAGACATCTCCTTTACCAGTGGCAAAATATAGTAATAGGGTTTTACCCTTTCAACTGGTACAAAAACTGACACCTTTATACAAGGCATCATGTTTGCAATAACCACAACACAAGCAGTCAAAATGCAAACAAAAATAAACAACTCTGATGATGATAATGATATGCACTGTCCTTGAAGTTGATTGGTCCACACCCGAGACAGCTTTTCTTAGAGCATTTTGGCGTCATCTGGTCCAACACCAATGGAGACTAGGCTCTAAGAAAAGCTGTCTCGGGTGTGGACCAATCAACTTCAAGGACAGTGCATATCATTATCATCATCAGAGTTGTTTATTTTTGTTTGCATTTTGACTGCTTGTGTTGTGGTTATTGCAAACATGATGCCTTGTATAAAGGTGTCAGTTTTGTACCAGTTGAAAGGGTAAAAACCTATTACTACAAACCACACACACAGATCTTAATACTCAAGCAGTGTCCCCCTCTAACTCCAGTCCATTCTCTGCACCACGGTCCAGGTTTTCATGTCCCGCCAAGGTTATCACCCTCCCAGCAATCGCTGCCGCAGTAACTAAATATTAAGCCTAAGTCTACAAGGTAGGCTAATCATAATGTATATTTCATGCAAAAGTATACATTTGCATGCACCTCCAACAAACGAATTAAGTGCTTGTGTTGTTTACATGTCAAATATTTAAGGACTAATATTAATTTAGTCAAACGCATTTAATACATTTGTTTTGCATAGAAGTCAGTGCACGTCAATGTCACTCGAAGCGGTCATATTTTATAATGTGACTGGCATGTTAGATGAACTACATACACAACACAGGAGCTCGCTTGTGGACTTGAGAGCATGGTTTCATTACCGAGGAGGGTGGCTGTGGACATTCATCTCCCGAACCGACTTTTTTTTGTCTCGCAACGACGGTGATAGCGCGATCGAAATAAAATAAGATTTGGAAGAAAAAAAAAGATTACACGCAATCCAGGATCTCAACAGGATCTAACACAGCTCCTCTAACATGGCCATTGCAGCCATGAGCGAGCGACCCAAACCAGCCCTGCTTACACTCATCCTGCTTTTTGTGTTTAGTTTGTTGTCCTTCCCCTGCCACCTCCGATTAGCACAGTTGGCTACTTACGGTACGAAAGAAGTTCAACATACATACAAAGAGATAGATCTCCCATATAGCCTTAACCAGACTGTTGGGGCAAGTGCAGTCTGCGAGCACCTATGAAGCCCGGCACGGCACACGAGGGGGTGTGTGGCCAGCACCACGCCCGGCCGCCTTTGTCTCCCCAGTGGCAATGTTTACACACCGCACCAGACACTCATTTGAGGCTGAGTCAACCCTGGGAAGTCCTAGAACCGGTTCGGATATTCGTCACTGGTGTTGTCCGTGAGTGGTAATCGAACTCAGGTCACCGGGGTCACTTACTCGTGCACATGCACTGCCAATTTTAGTCAAAACCCCCTCCTGGATACGAGGCCTTGCCTATGTCGTGTCGGTAGTGGGGATTATTTGACCATACTGCACCACGTTGGTCAACGTGGGTTCGTGAATTCGTGGAGCATGTTTGAATATAGTACAGTACTGTACGACAATATATTTTGCTGTACTGCCCATTTGCCGAGAGATAACGTCCCTCCACAGAGCTGCACAAGACCTGTGTTTGTGCGTGTCGGATTGACCATCTTAGACCTATCCAGGCTAAATCCTGTTAAGATTTTAGGATCTGTCAATATTGAATGCATTCCAAGTGATTTGGCCATAGCCTTACTAAAAGCAGATTTAAGTAAATTTGATGTACATTCATTGAACTTCCTACAAATGTTAACGAATAACATCTCAATGTGGTAGATAATGGATTTTGCTTGAATTTTTAATATTTTATTGTTATGCGTAACCGCATGGGGAGAGCACCCCGTAGCGTGACCCAATGGTAAACAAATGATTGTGGAACCCAGCACCAAACTTCATACGCAAGCAAAGCCACTTCCGAGAATCACAGAGTTATAAATGGCTGTGAAGCTGATGTCAGGAAAGGGTTTAAGCATAGTTCAAGACCGAAGACCAAGTAAGCTTATTGTGCGTTTTCAATTAAAAGTATTTACACTACAGCATGGGGTTTTGGGGCATTTTTGCATACATTAGCCATATATCCCCTATATAGTCTACAAAGACTTTTGGGGCAAGTGCTGTTAGCGAGCTTAGCAGCAAAAGGGTGGTGTGACCAGTGCCACGCTTAGCCGCCTTTGTCTCCCCATTTTTTACGTTCACATACAGCACCAGGTACTCATTTGAGGCTGAGTCGACCTATGGCAGGCCCAAGGCATGTTCGGATATCAGCCGCTACCGATGTTATCTGTAACTGAGAATCGAACCCAGGTACCGGGTTTGTAGCGCAGTGTCCCAACCACGATGCCACCGCTCCCCACAGTTTTGCATGCACACAATCATACGCACGTTCACACACACGCGCACACACTCAGGCAAAGTTTATCTAGGGCAAGAGCCGTTATCAAGCTCCTATGAAGGCTGGCACAACACACAAAGGGCCGGTGGAATCAGCATTATGCACACAGAGCTTTGGTTGTTCATGAGTTAAAGTTGCTCACAACCGAGAAGAGCCCCAGCTAGGGTTCAGAAACCAATTGCCATCGATGATGTTCATGGACAAGATTCGAAACTTGGCAAACTGGGAAGAGTAATGCCGCTCCTTACATGTATTCACGTAAAATCTCACCTACAAACACACCTATAAACACAACTGTAGAAACATTTGTAGGTGCATCTACACACCACCTATAGATACGCGACGCCTCCGTCTGCAGTAACAATCACACATGAAGATACAACCCTACCTCGGGTGCCAGTGCATTTGTCAACAAGAGCGCCAGATGACAAATAACAAAAAAAAATACAGTATTAGTTGCTAATGCACAGTTGTCATTTCATCACACAATAATACAGCACTGGTGCATTTCAAGACAATCAAGTTGTATTAAGGATATAAGCCACTGAACACTAAATGACTGCATATGAAGTGCATTCATATGTGCTGCATTATGCTAACGAGATGCCTTAGTCTGAAACTGTTCAACTGTAATTAAAAATACTTTTAATTAATGCCTGCTTGAAGGTCTAACTCCCCTTGTTTGTTTTGCACACGTGAACACAAAACAATCGATTTTATTGCAAATGCAGAACCGAAAAAACCTTATAACCGAAGATAAAAATAAAAAACTACCCTCTGAAACTGACGCAATGTAACGTAATCCCATTTAATATTCACTTGATTTAATAGTCACTTTATAATTAGCTTTTCCAGGGTATTGTAAAATACTGCATTGCAATGTTTATGTAAATTGAAAACTTAAAATACGTCGATGGAGAATTGCTTTTTCGAATTCAAATCAATTTTCACATCGCCGCTTAATTGCCTCTAGCTCAGAAATAGAGTAAGAATCCAGGTATCAAAATGTCACATTTGTCTTTAACTACCGTTAAAAAGCTACCACACTAACGGTCAAATCATTATGCACCTTCCCTTTACAATTACATTTCCATGGATTTTTTTTTTTTTACCATTTCTCCAATCCGAATTCACTCCAGAGTTCCCTCGCAGCAGACACAATTCCAGTTGTGTAGCGAGTTTATTTCACAACCTCTCGGTGAGACTTTTTTTTTAAACATAGGCAAAAATAATACAAACACTATTGAAAATAAAGCTTATGGAGCTGAACTCCTCTTATCGGCAGCCGTACTACCCACAACTCCTATTACCATCTTCTCCGCATTATAGATGCTCTGGAAAGCAAGACCCACCGAAAACTCTGTGCCCAGTGTCAATCAAGTTATACAAATCTGGCCGCACGCACCTCTCTGAATATAAGATGCACCCCGAACTTTTGCTTTCAAATACCAGGCGGAGAAAGATATGTGCTATCATCTGGAGAACACAGTATCCACAATGTTTGTGAGGTCCACAAGAACTCATTCTCACGCCCCTATACTTAATTTCTTCCTAACACCCGTGATTATTATGCAACAAAAATTGTAGGTAAATTTGCAGATTACCCCGAAGATGATAGCATCTGCAATGACCATCGCCCACATTGCTGCAAAATACAGGAGTTCTGCTCAAAATGTAAGCGTAAATGATACCGTTCACTGTACTAGGCTGTGGTCACACGGGTTCTTAAACGTCAGGCGGACGAATTAAAATGTAAATGTGTCGATGCTTCTGCAAAACAAACTCCTTTCAGTGCATTTTACTGTTTTCGAGAACAAACAAAAAAAATACACCAATAGCAGTGGCCAGGAGAGTAGACTGAGTGCCTTGCGGCTGGTTGTAAGTTACACATTTCAGAGAGGGAATTTTCCTCGAATTTAACCAAAGGTCAGGGTCACAGGTAAACTGATACAGCAGCGAGCATGTGCCATTGATCAACTGTCCAGGAGTCACGAAATCCTGCACTATTTGCATAGAGAGAGGCCAAGTCCCTGTCATGAGTCACTGAACTCCAAATCGAGAGGTTGTGAGCACAAATACTGGTCGGAGATCAACTCAGTCCATCGTCGCTCTGGAATTGATAAAAAAAAACGAGCACCAATGTATGGGACGTCCACAGTTGTTTTGTTATGGGTGGACTAACCCCCGTCATAAAAATGTGGAATTTCTGACAATGGCTCAGAGCTGCTAGCAGTTGTGAGCACCACCAATGGTTTATATTTAATCATAGACCCAATTGACTTTTTGTAACACAAATTCAAAAATATTATTAATATATATATTTCTTCACGAGTAGCCACGTCGATTTAAAATAAGCAAAACTGCAGTTTCATACTGAATATTTAATGAGGCTGTTTTTGAGATTTTTTTATTTATTTGTAATTATCAATAAAAAAAATGTAACAGAAATACTGCTGTGGTCAGCTGTAACCATGCCAGTGGCTCACCCGCATATCGTGATTGCAGAGACGTAACACCATTAGGGTTTGGTCGATGATGTATTGGCTCTTACGATGACAAATAGCCCGCCGAGTAGCAGACCGGTTCGCGAGCTCACAAACTGCGCTGGCTTGCACTCGGCCCATTAATGATTCGACTTCGTGCAGTTGCGTGGTAGTCTTCGCGAGATATTAGCAGCTATAAGCAAAGGCCGTCCGCCGTCGAGAGCGTGTTCATGACACTATGACGTCATTCACGAGGAAACGTCACCGAGTGCCGGTACAATATCCACAAATTCGAAATTTTGAATATCAACACAATTATCCCGCAGGCCTTTATTGCTAGAGAGACCGTCAATCTCAATAACTTAACCGGGTTAAGTTATAGAACGCCAGGTTGAATGTAAACATTATTTGTTTGGCCAATTAAAAACATCTCCGTGCAGTGTTTGGTTGCCGTTGCCGATTCATCGTGCCGAGGGTTGTGTTTGAGGTGACCACTGGCTGGTTCACGCTGCTTTTACCTGCCAGAATAGCGCCCTCATGCCCCATTTGTCTGTAACACGTGACCCAGTGCAAAGCCTCGTGACTTCGCATTCCGTCTTCTGCACGCCTGTCATGGTTTAGCAGAGGGACATTGCATTCTTAACGGTTCAAGAGGACTCTCATAAGGCAGAAACGTACGAGTAGTTTAGCTCTGTGTATGCAGGAATTAAGCAGGGACTGAAACAACTGCTTTTAGTTTACTCAGGCCATGTGTTTTCACTTTGGTGTCCACAATTCCATCCAATGTCCTTATTCAGCCATGTGAGTGTTGCATTACGATGTCTCGTACAAGTTCAATGGCATTAAATGCCCTTTATTTAATCAGGTGAGAGTTAATCATTTCTTGTTCACAAAATCACAGAGACAGCCAGAAAAAAACCGGAAATAAAACTCTACATACAAATAAAAACTGCACACCCAATCTTAAACAAACACAGCAACCAGAATGCTTTGTGTGTGCATATATGTTCTTGCACACACACACACACAGAGCTTGATCTACATGTTAGACAATGTGTTTTTTATTCAATGTATATTTCAGAAAAGATGGAGTAATTTGTTTTCCAGCTGTTTCGTCAAGATGTGAATTTGAGTCCCCTCTGCTACATTGAGGAAGCCCAATAAAGTGCCAATGCAATATGTGGATGTTTATTGTCTAAATGCAGAATTGTTGCTGTGGCTATCGTATCATTTACATTTGATTTATATTGAAGGCTGCATGCAACCTGAATTGCTTAAGCATTGTGGATAATTTTCATTTTCTAACATTTTACAGAACATAATTAACATGTCTAATCATTCCATTTCTAAGGAATATGATTTGCATTGCTGGCATAAAAAAAAAGGTAAGTGTCTAAGCTGCATAGAATTTTGGCAAAAAAAAAACCCCACACTGCCTTGCAAGCCTCAACACAGTGCATCGACATCCACAGAAGCCTCGCTGGTAATTAATGTTGCAGTAATAGGCAACGTGTTTTCTTTATGGATCTATGATAGTTCAACTATGGTCATCCTATGGGGAGACAAGTCAATGTGGAATTTCCACACCAGTGACTTAAGTATCCTAACAGAGATGAGCCCTGCCCAATGCTAATTTGAGCGGGGGGGTAGGGTGGGGATACAAAAATAGAAATTGCATTAATTAAATCAGGGCTTAATTTCACCCGGAGCCGTTTGGGGCTGAGCTACAGAAAATATGATACCTGCCACCTCCCACCCGCCCCCCCCCCACCCTCCCCGGAACAGGATCCGGGGAGGGTGGGGGGGGGTTTGGGGTTGATTGGAGAATTGTTACAGCGGCGACAACAGCGTCGCTGTCGTCGCAGTCAAGTAGTCATTGACACAAGGGTCGATCTCCAGGAGGAGAGACGGTACCGTGCGTGCGAGCGAGCGAGCGAGTGGGCGAGCGGGCAAGCCATTACTCTTCGCTCGTGAGCTGCAGCGCTCGCATGCGCTTGAGGCTGTAGGAGCTGAGCGCCAGGCCCAGGAGGCTGAGCATCAAGGCGGCGCGGTTGGTGCGGGTTTCAGCGTGCCCGCACGCCAGCTCCTGTGCCGACTGGGTCTGCAGCTGGACAGGGCACACGCGGCCACAACATAAAGGCAACGTTCTCCTATCGTCTCCACTAGAGGAAGCTCTGGAGAGCCCCTCTACATGGGATTTTGGCCTACTCTTTCACGCAATTTTTTTCAGTAGTGAAGACCTTAAATCAAATGAAACATTAAGTAAATAAATTGCACATTGATCTGTATAAATATTTAAAAAATGAAATTAATTTGCAGTTATTTTTAATTTTATGGTATGCTCATAAAAGCACTTACATTAATATTGACGAAACAATTAGTCCAATTGCCCATTCATAAAACTGCCAAGGAGGGAAATATTACTTAGGATTAATGAGATGCAATATTGTTCTATTCCATAAGGACCATGGTTGTCGAAAAATATACATTTGCCATTTATTCTTGGACCATAACTTCTGAACTTTGAGGCAAATATTAAGTTACAAGGCTTTAATTGTTAGAGTTCTTAAAAACCAGAAACACCTCACAAAAGACAAATGTTCATCATTTAGTAAATGTGGCCAGCGTCAGGCATGTCCCCACAACCTTTATCTCCCCATTGATGACACTGTATTTACGAATATGCTGCACCTGCTAATCATATATGGCTGAGTTGACTTTTGAGAGGCCTTAGACATGAACCAGTTACGCATTGCCAACGGTGTCAGGCACGTTCAGGAATTGAATGCAAGTTGAATCCAAGTTTTCTAGTGCAGTGCACTAACCATTAAAACACTCCTCCCCACAATATACATACAAAGACGAAAAGCCCCAATTACAGCCTTAACAGACTATTGAAACAAGCACATTTAGCGAGCACCTATGAAGGTTGGCACTGCATGAGAGAGGGTTGATGGCCATCACTACGCCCGGTCATCTTTATCTCCCCAGTGGCGATGTTTACGCACCATGTACTTATTTAAGGCTGAGTCGACCTAGGAGAGGCCCAGGACTAATTTAGATAATCATAACTGGCGTTGGCCGTGAGCAGGAATCCAATTCTGGTCGCCGGGTTCATAGTGCAGTGCGCTAACCACTTCACTACTGCTTCCTATACACATACACACACACGCAGCTACATACGCACACATGCGTACATATAAGCTACAGTTTTTAGCATTGATACACTATGTCCAAGTACAGTGGCATATTAATAACAACCCGACAATGGCGATGTGGCAAACGAGAGGGATTTTACATTAACATCCATTATTTAGGAATACTACCAGAGAGTAATGGTTAGCACACTGGACTTGCAATGGTGGTGTAAAGTGTGGGTTTTTTCAAACGTTTGACCAGCGTGGAAGAGTAAACCAAATTACACTTTAGATGTAGAGATGTCTCTACATCTCTACATGGGCAAGTGATTTCAGAGCTTCACCTTTTCCTTCGTAGTTATTTAAGTTCGAGGTTGCCTGCCCATTGGCATGTTAGGTGTGAGCGGATTAATAACCATTTCAACTTGGAACGGGAACAGTATGAGTATTCGCTCACTCTCGAAGAGAGAACGACTCACATGCGCAAGGAAGCACAGACCAGCAGGAAGGCAGCCACACGGTGAGCAGGCTCCAACAATTGCCCAAGCTTTGCGGTACTCTCGATATCAAGGCGTTATCAGCCAATACACGTGTCTCTACATGTGGGAGGATACCAGAGCACCCGGAGAAATTCACGCGTGCGAGGGGGAATCACTGTATCCCACACTGATGGAACAAGTGGAGGTCCACATTTTTAAATCCTTTATATTAAGTTCGCTTGCTTGCTTGCGTGCTTGCGTGCTTGCTTGCTTGCTTACGACCGTGCAAATCTTTCGGTCGTTTTTTAACCCACTTCCCGTGATCCAATCGAGCTGACATTTCCCACACAGACTCGTTGTGCGAGACAATTAATGTTCGTGAATTTTTTTTTCCAAAATGTTACACTGTTTAGGGAAAACAAATTAAATATTTAATTACCAATTGCTTAATACTGGCAGACAATCATCTGACCCATAGGTGGCAGCCATCTCAAGCCAGAGGACGAGAGGACTCTAGCCGCCACGCATATAAAGGATTTATAGTGAAAAACTTTGTTTTTACGGGTTATACTTATTTGCTGTTACTCCCTTCCGACGAGCTAGGAACTGGCACCTCGCCGCCCACTGGGAATGGAGTTTCTCAACTTTTGTGCGATCCACTAACCCCCACCTCCACCGTGCTCTATTACAGGCCAGCTAAATTGTCGATGTATAAAAATGTCGTGGTTACCTGCAGCAGGCGAAAGTAGCCGGGGGTCAAACGGCTGAACCGCTTCACCATCGCAGGCGCAGGTGAGGCAGCAGGGCTTGGATCACAGCGTGCCCCTCACCCTCCGCGTCTCTCGTCTTCTGGTCTAAATGAACGATGGGAGATCTCTCTACATATACGCAATGTGGCTGATCGTCATGCCGCTTCGAATGGCAGCAATTATTTCCGTAAGACAGTTAGAATAAAGTCACGCAGGTGAAAATATAATAAAAATGAAAAAACTAAATTGATATTTTATTTTGACCTACGTGACTTTACCGAAAAAACCAAAGAGTATGGATCCTTGCAGTCACGAAAACTTTAAATCTAGAGTTATAATAAAACATGCCGTATTTCTTTGTATGTATGTGACACATTATCGCTTTATTATGCAACACCGTACGGTGTAATAATGGAAATCGTAAATTAACAATGACACAAAAGTGTGATGCAATGTCCAACCAATTGAGTCTAGTATTTATATACAGCACTGTTATAGCATACTGATGTTATAGAGTAAAAACCTCAATACTGTGAAAGGTAACAACAACACAGTCATGATGACAATGCCATCAATGAACTTTACACGACATGCCAGGCACCGTTGAAGACGACGAACGTTCGCACCCTGCTCCCTACACTCACCTCCAAGCGAGCCCACGAGTTGTTATTGCTTCTGGGCTGCCCCCCCTACCCCCCTAGCTATGACGTTGATCCGTGTTACCCCCTTTGCCCCCCACCCCCCTGCTCTCTCTCTCTCTCTGAGCCACGGATGGGGGGACACTCGGCACGCCGGTGTCTATTTAAGAGGCAGGGGACATGGGGACGAGGCGTCCCTCCCCTGCCCTCCCACCACGATGCCCAAACCAGTACGAACCAAGTCTCCCCGGTCTCCCTTTGAGCACTGGCAACTCCCTACAACGCCAGCCCTGTGCGTGTGTTTAGCACACTGTTGCATAAAGCCACGTGGGGTGGATAGGAGCAGTAGGGTGGGGGGGAGGCAAATTTTAGAAATGTGTATGTGTGTGATTTTGATTGGTGTATTCACAATCTCTTAGCACGACACTGAACAAAAGGCGCATGGGGAGAAAGTTGATAGATGTGTGGTGTGGATTTGTAGTGGGGAGCACGGGGTGGCGTAGCATCTGTCAGTCGTCTCGGTCAGTCAACCTACAACACCTGGGACTCTCGCCGTGACCTGCCAGCAGCGAGCCTGTGACACGTGATGTGGCCTCAAGGTGCACCTAGCCTGGCACAAGTGCCGTGGTGGTGATATCACCACCACTCAATAGTGAGCAGTGCTTGTTGTTGTAGATTTGTGTATTCACAAGCTTTTAGGCATGGTGTAGCAAAGCTTAGAAATGTGTGTGTGTACGTTACGTTGATGATGTAGTGTCGTGCTTAGTGCGCTGCACTAAGAACCCAAAGACCCGAGTTCGATTCCAGCTCACTCCCAACACCAGTGACGATTATCTGAACCGGTCCTGGGCTTCCCCTAGGTCACCACGAGAGAGTCAAAGGCAGCCAGGCGTGGTCCTGGCCACCCACCCCCTCATTGTGTTGTGGCACACTTCAGAGGTGCTTGCTAACTTTACCAAAAAGTCCGTTAAGGCTATAGGGGGGGATCTTTTCATTTGTTGATCTGTATATTCACAAGCTTATTGTGCATGTGCCTACGTCTAGTTCATGTTAGTTGTGCATAGGCATTCTGAAAGTGGCTCTCATTCCTGGTTCCGATTCGGCGGTGATGCACTCATGCCACATTCCCATGGCCAAAGTACAAATATTCACATGAAAGAGCCCCTGTTGTGATCTTAGGGAAGCACCACCGAGTTGTGCAGACCCACCAGGTCGTGCCCAGTTGGATGATGATGATGATGGCCATGATGGTAAACATTATTTATAGTGATGATTGGAATTATTACATTGACCTTGGTTTGGAATTGAACTCAAGATCTCACAATTGAAAGCCTTATCCTTATGGATAATATTGGTCGCAAAAGCCTACGTGTTAAATTGAAAGGCCTTTTGCTCATTCACCAAATCTCTATACACACACACAGCACGTGTATAGTACCTTACATAGTATTTTTAGTGTCTCAGTAAAACTTTGAATTATGTATGTAATAAAATGCACACATTAGAAATACCGATTTAAAAGACATGCAAAAAGTTGTCATATAGCAGTGTGTGGGAAAGTGTGCCCCCTACTGTGCAGAGATTAAAAGGCCAATTGAAGTGTTTATGGAGAGGAACCTGAAAAAAGATATTCCGTAGTTGTTCTCTGAGAGACTGAGAGCGACTCTGTAAGATTGTCTAATGGATTATTCGTCTTCTGACATGATGCCGATCGCAAAAATGTAATAAACGGGGGGGGGGGGGGGGAGGAAAAACGATTTAACAAATAAGAAAATATATGTACAACTCTATGTATGCTATGCCATGCCAATGTTTTGCAATGAATAAGAGCCAAGCATAGGTATTTCAATTTCAATACGCATAACATGTTTCTATCTTATTATTGCGCAAGTTGTTTGTAATATATTCTGCAATATATTAAAAGTATTCACGTTAAGCCTCTGCCTTTGCCCTGCGTCCAATCTGATAAAAATACAAAGTATGTTGCGCACATGTTAATGCATTCATATCAATGAATTCCTGCATGCCCATACATGTGTGTCTGTGTGGGTGGTTGACTTAGCCTTAATAAGTACCTATTGTATTGTGGAAGCATCAGCATTGCGTAGACAAAGTTAACTAAGTGTAGTGTGGATCGTAATAGGTGTTCACTCACAACAGTTGACCATGTGGTTTATGAGGCTGAACGGACAAATCGTTGTCCTTGCGTATATTTTTAACAGTTGTCTGCCTGTATCGATACACTCGTACTAACAAGAGCACTAATACAACGCTCACTATCCAATTCTCTATCCGTCTCCGCGTGTCTGTCATCCTGTCAGCCTCTTCAAAACAAATGTCACAATGTGCCATCACGCACCACTGAGCTGCCACATTTCATTTACATCGAAGCAAAGCAAGTGCCGTGCCATTACGGATAGAATCGACAGAACATATTTCAAAACGCACTGCATATATACAGTGCTGTATGGAATGGATGATATTTGGACGGCTGCGTAGACCAGTGATTGTTGTCCTCATCATTAAGCCACTTTTTATGGCTTTTTTTTTTATTCCAGCAGCAACTCGGTAACTTTTATGGGTAATTGTCAAAACGTTATGTCTCCTCGAAGGTGAATGTTAAAGACTCCCGTGACATTATTTTTCACGAGAGAAGGCCAGTGTGGTGGTCTCATAGCACAAATCTCACATTTTAACCATTACCGTACTCACAGAATGATTGACAATGAAATACCCTGACATTACTGTCCCTTTTAAAAATATAGCAATCCCAATTTCTTGAGACAATTTTATCAAATGACGCATCTCCTTGATAAAAAAAAATGTCCGTTAATTAATTGTATAGGTGCAGAAGAACTGATTGACATATCTGACAGACCGTAAATGTGACTGCTGCAGTAGCATGCATAACATAGTTGTTTGCTTTTACTATCAGTGTACTACTCTCCTCTGCAATGTGTCAGTGGCTTTTAAAAGTAACCTCAAAGAACTGAACTGTGCAGCGCTTGTGCAAAACAGCCATCACGCAACCCACAGAGGCCATTCCAGTAAAATGCAAGTCAGTCACAAGATGTGTTTAGATTTTCTAAGCAGTGTGAGTTGTAAGCATTTGCGTGTGTCTTTATTTCCCTGCCTGGCAGAGGACATTTAGTTTTAAATAACAATGATGATCAACTTCAAGGACAGTGCATACATTATCAGAGTTATGTTTTTTGTTTGCATTATGACTGCAGGTGTTGTGGTCTATGCAAACATGACTCCTTGTAAAAAAAAGGTGTCAGTTTTGTTGCCAGATAGAAGGGTAAAAAAAACAATTATCATATTTTTTACTGGCAAATGAGGTTCCAATAGAGTAATAATAATGTTTAGTTTTATGTAGCATCGTCCATACAAATGTCATCTCACAATCGCTCAAGAACTACGGACAAGTTAGAAGGCAGCCAGTTGGTGAGAAGACGCCAACATATACCCAAGTTCTTCACTCCTCTATACACGAAGATGTTTTCAGGCAATAGATGTTTATACACGTGGGAAAAAAAACCGGAGCACCCGAATAGAACCCAAAGCGTGCGAGGAAAACAACTCCTTCCTCGACAGTCCGGGTGTATCGGGTCATAGGTCACAGTACGTGAGATCATAACGCATTAATCACTGCGAGCTCATGCACAAGAGCTGATCGAAGCACAAGGCAAATATAGGAAAGCACATGTCGATGTCAACAAATGGAGTGTGTAGTACGGAGCGGGAAGAGAACAGTATGTCGCGGTAAGGAGAGAGAAGGAAAATTCCCTACCGAGAACATATTTGAAATACACAGAGGAGGCTGTTTGCTCAACTTGCATTTGTACACAATTTTACACATTCAAGCTGAGGCCTTTAATGCGTCTTTGTGAAAACACACAAACTGAACCATTCATCTCCATGGCTCAAGGAGCAGTGTCTGGTGGTTGTTGTCAAGAAAGGCCAGCTGAAGACATTAGGAAGGGCCGCATAACATTGATTGCGTGTGTGTGTTCTACATCAATGTGTAGCCTCTACTTAATACAGGGTATTGTGAAATAAATAAAGATGCTTTGCTCTCTGACTTATTCAGGGGAGCAGTAAGAACATAACGTGGTTGATAAAAAAAAACTCGTTTAAAATGTAGTGCTGTAACCTAAACATGTATTCAAGAGTCTAAAATGGACTTACTGTGTATCAATAACAGCACCATAGCTCTTTCAAATCAATAAAATAATGTATTTTAAAAAACACATCTAGAAAACTGTAATTTTAGCTGTGACGGTCCCACCTGATGACGGAGACTTGTGTTGCCTCCGAAACGTCGTGCTTTATTATTTTATTTCCATTATTACTTTTATTAACTTTTAATTTTATTTTTTACCTACGTGACTTTACCGAAAACACCTAAGAGTATGAAAAAGCAACTGTTATTTAAAAACAAAGTGCCTGTTGGTTAACCACCCCATCAGGGACAGGAAACAAAGCAGAGGGAAAAATAAGTGTCCTGTTACCACCAAATATACAAGTGACTGCTCAGGGAACGTGCATTTGATGTTGGGTGATTTTTGTCTATCCGTGAATGTCAACAACTGTTCACATTTAACTCTGTGCCAGATACATTTTGCACCAGCTGTTATAGTTCGTAATTGTTCGTTTAACTGCTATACCTTTATTATGGAAAATATTTAGTGCAGTGCCTGAAAGAATTGTGATGATTGATTAGCTCTTAGTTCTTTTCATTAGCGGCCTGCCCTGTAGTTGTCTCCAGACTGTAAACAGGCCAGAGATGTTCTCATTTGGAAACGCTCACTGGTTTGCAGAGAAACCCACAGGTTAATTAAATTAGAACGCTCATTAAGATTCCACAATCTCACCTACATCACACACACACACACGCTTCCAGAGAAGGTGCCATGGGGCCCTTGGCTTTAAACGCAAGCCACCTGTTTGTGCCGTAAGCTACACTGTCCTTGATAAACAAATACAAACGTGGCCCAGTTTGTTTCATATCGGCGCATGACAAGGCTACGAGCCCCGTGCTAAACGAGTGTCACTCTGCTGGGAGCCATGGCCCAGTTTAAACGTTGCCCGCATTTCAGAGCCGATTTGGCGACCGTGACCATCAGCCGGCCTTGCTCTGAGAGAGTTACCGCATTAACGCTGCTCTGCTGACAGTGAACTTTGAGACTCACACAGCTCTATGTAAGTGGATTATTGTTGTCACAATACCGTACAAATGCCTTAAGCCCTGGGAACA